GCCGGTGATTTTTGCAAATTACCTCAAGTCTGCTCGATATGGAAACTACTTTTGCTCTTTAGTCAGATCTGATGCGTTATGATGCATCATTTAAACATTAAAGCAGCTACAGGCTTTTCTTGGTTCTGTTTGTCAGAGGACGGTTCTGTGCTCATGTTTACATTTTGACGCCGTCTTTCAAACCAGGAGTAAAATATTGATGTTTCCAGGCAGAGCAGGAAAACACGGGCTTCTGAGAACTGAGAGCAAGCAGATGAAGCATTAGGTTGATACACTCTGCTGTCTGGACATCGAACCATAAAAACGCATTAAATAACCGCAGAGAAAACAGCAGGATTATAGGAATCAGGTGCATGAAATACGCTGCATAAGCAAAATCTGAGATCTTAGACATCTTTGTTCTGTGAACACATTAATCAGAAAGATTTATTAAAAGATCTAGGATTCATAAACTGTGACTCATTCATCAGAGTCCTTCAGGAAGTGAATAGGCAGCAGGTATAACCAGTAACCTGCAGAAAAATACAAAGCACATGACGCTGAAGTAACATTATTATTTGTCTCCAGGACACAAATGTTTGTCATGGAGGAAGAAAAAGAGCATCAAAGAGATTAACTGAGTGGCATTAATCCAACAATGTTCATTCAGATCATCTGGACAGTTTCTTTTCTTTTTTTTTTATTGCTGTTGAGAGATGTTTCGCCCTTCATCCGAAGTATAAAAATGCACACAGTGTTGTTTGTTCAAGCATTTTCCTGCTGTAAAAACTGATGGCTGAACCACTTTGGCTGTGGCAGCTTGGGAGGAGTTGACGGGGGAGAGGACAGCCCCCAGAAACCATCTTATCACCATCAAACTGGTTGGTCCACTGTCGGAGTGTACTGCTTATTGTGGAAAACAGTTTGTTTGTGACTCTTCAGACAAGAAGCCCTTCGGATGGAGGGCAAAACATCTCTTAACAAAAAAAAAAAAAAAAAGAAACTGTCCAGATGACCTGATTGAACATTGTTGGATTTTTACCTGGATTATTGCGCATGAACCTTGATGGGTGGCATTAAACTTGAGCCAAATAAAACTAATCAGGTTTTACATGTGATCAAAGCAAATTAAGTGTTAAATACAACTCGATGGGACGACTGGGGTCCAGTTAGGCAAACTCAGAAAACCTTTTGATTTCTATCTTTACAAAGTCTTAACTTAACTAAAGGTACCAAACACAACTCATTTTCTCTAAATCTGGTTATAAGTAGGGTTGCTAGATTCCTGAGATTTTTAAAGTTGGAATCTATTCTTTGGAATTAAAGGCAATTTATGAGAATCAACTTGGATTTTAAGAATATTGAATGATAGCTTTTAACAGGAATTTTAAATGTGGTTGGGGAAAATATATATTTAGCATAATCTGGAATAAAACAGCCAGAGTTTGTTGCTGTAGCACGCAGTGTGAGGAAGCACACCCTAAAACGGAGAAACTAAGTCACCTGAACATGTAGCGACAGATGGAAATAGTCAAATCTAAATCATTTAGTTCAGAGTTTTAAGAGTTTTGTTGGTAAACACTAGTTACTGAAATATAATTTGGTTTATGTAAATAAAATGACAAAATGTAAATAAAAAAAATACAATAAAATTCCATAAATACTTTAGTTCAAAATTGTGAATTTTTATATTTTAGTTACATATAAGAAGACATTTTCAATCTTGTTCTTTTTGTGATTTATAATTTACTGATATTACGCAACATCTTTTTCCTCAGTTTTTTAAATGAAGCTTCAGGCATTATAAATTAATTTGAAGTTAAAATAATAATAATAAAAAAACGAAGAAGTCATACTTTACATATTTCAAAAATCTGAAAATAATATTTTTTAAGGTCATCAACAAAACTTCTGTCCTTCTTTTAAGTCAGAACCAAGATCAGTGTGCATCTCTTCATATAATCCAGCACTTCTGTTAATCCACACACCAATGTTGTCTTCCCTAAAATTCACTGATTGATCCATAGGTCAACTCTGGTGAAATATTTAGGTAATATTTTATCATTTATCTCTACATCTCTGCTCCATCCTGCACCTGAGAGATTCATTCATTCAACCTTTATTTAGACAGGTTAATCCCAATTCAGATTATTAAACATGACAACCCTTATTAGAGATGAACCACCTCTGAGGTACTAAAACTCATAAATAATCCCACCATTCCTTCACTTGGAGACAAATTTGCAAGTTCCTGGTCTCTATCATAAACATTTATTTAAATAAATATGTTGCATTTTTCTATTACAGATAAACTGATTTGATTTGTTTCACAATTTTTATTGGAAAATACAGTTTAACCTGTGATTGGACCAACAGAACTGAGCTGCTTAAACATTTTATCCATATTTCACACAAAACTTCTTCTTTTTTACAAAGACAACATTCAAACAGCTGCAGTTTTCAGCAGATGTTACTGAACTGGGAGTCATGGTGCATTAATGGGGGATATTTTTAGGCACACAGAAATCTGCTGGTTTAAAAAATGATGATTAAGTTGCAAATCGATTCAAATGTTGTATCATATAATAAAGACACATGACTGATGATTCAAGAGTGGATGAACAAATATTGTTTGTATAAGTACTTCAAATTTTGGTCTTCAATTCAACAACCAGAGCTGTAAAAATAGGAGACATCTTTTTAAACTTTTTATTGTAAAATAAAGGCTTAGTTAACTTTTATCTTTTAAAGGAACCTTGTGCTTACATTTGTATTTGCGTTAATTGTTTTGGGTGATCCATTCAGTCCATCTGTGCTGTTTTCCATGCATGAAGCCTCTGAACCTTCTGTTAAGATCTCATTTGTGTGTAGGTGTCAGCCTTAAGAACATACAGCCATGTAAACAAACAAATATGAACAAACGCTGATGTAATCTGACCTAGACTGAGCTATACAAGATGTCCCTTTGTTGTGGTTTTATTAATTCGTGCACTCATTCCTTGTGTTTGTGCGACAGAATCTGAGCTGAGTGCAGATCACATCTTTTTGTGATCATTTTGATGAATCGTTAGAAGTGACCTTGAAGTGTGTTCTGATTGGGAAAGAAGGAAAAAATATCCACCTGTGTATTTGTTTAAAGAGTAAAATCCGGCCGATGCAGTGAATGCCACTGATTATGTTACAGCGCACAGCTCTGCAGGGAAGTGTGACGATTTGGCAGCGTTCGTGATGTTACCTTTGACACAAACAACCCGACTAAACACTGTTGCAGATTGAGCATTAGCTCAGCTGGATAATTCTCACCAACACACTCCCCCAAAAAAAACTCCTCAAAAGCAGCTCAAAGAGCTCAATAAAGCACTGACCCAGCCAGGCTTTGAACGCCCCGAATCCAAATCTGATCGTGCGTCTGCAAAATGAAAAATCCAGATCCATTAAAGCTTTGACACAAACCCACAGAACCAAAAGGATCTGCAGACAGAGAACCGTGACCTTGCCTGTAACTCGGTCAGGGATGGTTTAGCAGCTGGAAAGAGACCTGTAAAATTCCAGGAATGTGTTTGGGTTTTGTGACTGACTGGTGCTTTTATAAAACATTTTAATTATGTTGGTTGATGTTTCACACAACATGAAAATAATTATTAAAATGGGTAAATTATCCTCCTAACCCAAGTGAAGCCATGTATATCTTCCAAATCTTTTCATCAGCACGTCTTCCTGCATTCCTCCCTAAACAAGTCCCCAGCCACCAAGGGGAGTAATTAGGCAATCAAAAGCTTGAAACAGTATCGACAAGGCTGAGCCGAGTCTATCACGCTGGCAGGAGTTAGTGCTGTGGACAGCCAAGTCGGTATGTTGAACAGTGAGTAGTGAAGCGGCTGCAGCTACAGCCTGCTGGCGCATTAAAAAGCCCCCCCAAAAGATGCCCAGAATTAATAGATCCGGACAAATCTAATGATGGAGAAAGTTCAGTGAGAGATTTCTCATTCAGACTCAGGAGTGTTGGTTTTACTCTGTGGCTCCTTCCGTCTTTTCTCCTCTCTGTTCTTCTCCGTCTTGTTTTCTCTGGCTCACCCCAGTTTATCTCATCTACGCTGTGGGGGGAAAAAATGTTGGAAGAAAAAGTTCAAGCTTGGCCAGCGTTACTCTGGATAACGAGGGACATTAATTCCACATTTCAAAGCTTCTTGGTTCCTCTGTCCTCCTTTTTTTGTGGCTGTCTGATTATTGGTAAAAGGGGTTGTTGCTGAATACATGCTCCCTATCGAGCTTTTAGAGACGGACGTACAAGACGCACAGATTTTAAGCACAGGACGGCCAACACTTTTCTCTGCTACTGTTTTGCACAATGTTGTCTTGGTTTTATCGAACTGTCACATCACCCTAAAAGCAGCTGTGGTGCACAGGAAGAGACACCGAACTGTTGAACGAAATTAGCTGCTGCCAAGTTTCTTAGTTTGTTGTGATCCACCAAAGTGTTACACATAGTCTTTATTTATTCCCACTTAGAACAATGGTAACAAAACAAAGACAGTTAAAGAAAAAAACAACAGGAAATAATTCTCTGGAAGTCCTTAAAATGTGTTTTTTAAGCCTAGGAGCACAGCACTGTGGGTGCTCTGGACAGGCTTCAGTTTTTATCAAAGATCAAGCTTCCTTGGAAGTCTCTGTGAAATAAAACTGTATCTTCAGGTCTGTTGACTGAGAGGAAGGAAGAAGACACAAGAAAACCCTCCTTCAGTCCCGTACAGTTCCTCTCAGATTTGTTCGAAGTGAAGTTCTGATCTGGTACCAGCACTTCAACTCTGACCGACCCACAGTTGGTTCTGTATCTGTCGGCCTCAGGCTCAACCGGAGGAACTTTTACAAGTTTCACATTCATTTTCCTCCTATAAAACATTAATTTGTTTCTTGTGAGGTTCAACTTCAACTCTTTAAAACGCTATTTTTTTGTAATGTTTCACAGAAAAAAAAAAAATCTGTCATATCACAATCCCCCCCCCCTCCCACCCCCCGGAATCTCAGTTCTGGTCTCCCAGCAGGTCTGTGGTGTTGCTGCTCTGTGGGGGTAGAACGCGTCTAGGGGAAAGAGGTGGGGAGTTGTGATGTAGCCGCCTCGGACTGGATCCTCCTCCACCCTCGCTGTCTGTGTTAGATGAAGATGGGGGTGGGGGCAGAGGAAGCCTGGGCAGGGGGGCAGAAGATGGTGGTATTCTCGTTGAGGCTGATCCTAAACTGCAGCCTGATCTCAGGCTCTGGATCCTTCTGCACTCCTGACAGATCCTCACATGGGCGCAGCTGCGGGCAGGCAGCATCACGGGAGTGGGGGCAGGGGGAGGCGGGGTGGCGTTGGCTCCCAGTGGATCGTCCAGGATCCGCTGGGGCCCGGGGCCCAGCTCCGGCAGTCCTGTCCCTCCTGCTCCCCCGGTCAGGGGCCCAGCTCCACTGTATAGCTTGCCATTGCTGAGCCGCATCTCCCGGACCAGCCTCAGGGGCCGAGGGGCCCCAAGAGCGATGCGGGCGGGGTGGCGTAAAGCCGCCGAGCTGCTCAGAGGCCGACGGCGGCGCATTCGAGAGCTCTTCCTACAGGAGACGGCGTTTCGAAACTCTGTGATCATCTCTTGACAAACAGACACCTGGATGGGGAAAAAGAAGGAAGGAGAAGGGAAGAAGGAAAGGAGGGGAGGAAAAGGGAAGGAGGCCAAGGTAGAGGAGGTGCCACAGACACAAAGTAGGCAGGCAGCACAATAGGACAGCACATAAATAACAGCATGAAAAAAACAATAACATTTAAAGGAAATGCAATAAGCTCAAAAACAAGATAACGCCGAGATAAACAGACACAGTGGGTGCGTTCAACAAAAACATTGCAGGTGAACCAGCGGCACGGGTTGACACATGGAATAATGGTTGAAAACAGAAACAAAGAGATAAAAAGATGATGGGAAGGATGAGGAGATGGATAGAGATGGGAGGATTTTTGAGGAGCAGAGAGAGTTATTACAACCTAAATACACAGAACACCAAAATAATCATTTTTATGGTGCTATGAGCAAACAGGCAGGCCTGAAAACTCAGATGAGCATTTACAAAAAAGCAGACACAAATTTAAACTCTATAAATCTCTTTCATCCTTCCAACCCCATGACCACTGTTATCTGAACACATGGCAAACAAAACACATCAACTTATTGCAACTACAGACAACCACTTCCATCATAAGTATGATCAAGTATCATGTGCTCACATAAACAGAAACAGTACTCGTTCTTGGAGAACAGACACTGATGGCCGAATGACAGGAAGTGTGTATGTGTGTGTTTTAGAAAAATAGCAGCAGACGCACAGTGAGATGGGTAAGAAGTAATCCAGTAATGGGAACGAAGAATACCAGCGTACATGTGAGGCATGTAAAAGAAGATACATCGTGACATTTAATGCCAGGGGAAAAAAGATCACTACTTCTGTATGCAAGCAAATATTGGCAATTCTCAATATTGCTTATCTGATCTGTTAAGTTTAGCTTACAAACACTTGCTGCCACACAGTTAGACACCAAACACTTAAAGGGTACAGCAATGTCCAAACAGGCACAGCATGCAGCAAATTTCTCTACTTATATTGTTGAACATCATTTTAGTCGCACAGACGCACACTTTAACATTCATCTTATCACACCTATACATAACACATTAGATCACACACAAACGTGTACAAAGAAAAGCAGAAGCTGAAAAAATATATGCATTTTGCACACACACAAAGAAAACATAATTAAAAGGGCTGGCGAGATGCCATGAGAACCTACTGGGGTGTGTCTGTGAGGTCGGCGAGGGCAGGTATGGGGGCATACCTCATCGGTCTCTGCTGAGCGGCGCGTCGACCACACAAACTCCATGATGGCCACAAACACAGCAATGATGAGGCCACAGATCAGCACCACGAAGATGCCCCCAATGTTCTCCATGCCCAAACCTGAAACAGGCCCATGGAAACGACATCAGCATGATGGGAGAACACAAACTCATCAACATCTGCAACTGTTTATATACTAATCCTGTACCTCATAATGTATTCTTCACTTTCTGGTATTTATTTGTTTATTTACTTTTGTATGTTATTTCAAATAAGATGGCACGGTGGAGCAGTTGGTAGAGTTGCCACCACCAGTTCAAATCCCGGTCGGCAGCCTTTCTGGGTGGAGTTTGTATGTTCTCTCCGTGCATGCATGGGTTTTATTCGGGTACTCCAGTTTCCTCCCACAGACCAAAAACATGCATGTTAGGCTGACTGGTAACTCTAAATTATCTCTAGCTGTGAGTGGGAGAGTGAATGGTTGTTTGTCTCGCTTGTTTCTTTGTGTCCCTGTGATGGACTGGGGACCTGTCCAGGTTGTTACCTGCTCCTCACACGGTGATGGCTGGACATGGGCACCAGTGACACCCACGACCCAAAAAAGGAAGAAGCGGGTAAAGATAATGCATGGATGGATGGATGGATGGACAGAGACATCAGAGACATTTACACATCTAGATGCAGGAAGAGGCCCACCTGCATCATGAAGGACTCCACTCACCCAGCACACACACTCTTTGCCCCACTCCCCTCAGGCAGGAGGTTGAGGAGCATTAAGTGTAGAACCATTGGACTGAGGAACAGCTTCTACCTGAGGGTGTTAGACTCATGAATCTCTAACCAGATAAATCACTGTGAAAAATCACATCATGTTGCTGCTGATTTGTTTCATGTTGCTGCTGATTTGTTTCATGTTGCTGTGTTCATTCTTATTCATCTGCTCACACAGACTCATGTTCGTGCTGCTGTTCGACATATTGTTTTTATACTATTAATGCTTAGCGTATTTTTAGTTAACGTTTTTCTTAGTATTACTGTTTTTCTTTTACATTTTATATTTTTGTTGGAGGGCAGCACGGTGGCGCAACTGGTAGAGCTGCTGCCTCTCAGCGAGAAAGTTGCCGGTTTGAAGCCCGGTCCGGGGGCCTTTCTTTGTGGAATTTGCATGTTCTCTCCGTGCATGGGTGGGTTTTTTTCTGGGTACTCCTGTTTCCTCCCACAGCCGAAAAACATGCATGTTAGGCTGATTGGTAACTCTAAATTGTTCCTAGGTGTGAGTGAGAGAGTGAATGGTTGTTTGTCTCTATGTGGCCCTGTAATGGATTTGTGACCTGTCCTGTCATACAGTGATTGCTGGATATGGGCACCGGCGACCCCCGTGACCCAAAATGGAAGAAGCGGGTAAATGATAATGGATGGATGGATGGATGGATGGACGGACTTTTGTTGGCTGTAACTGGGACCCTGTGTACACAATTTTGTTCCACCACATGTACCACATAGTGCGAATGACAAATAAAGCACCTTGAATCCTTGAATCCTTGAAAGGACGTTATTTCAAATATGTCTCAGTTTATTTGCCCACTGCTTCATTATGCTCAGCTAACTCGATGTAATAGCACATTTTCTGCACAAACACTTATTGAATGTAAATCTATTGTAATATTCTCCTAAAAAAAAATCATTTTTAGGCTCATATTGAACACATCCTTTAATTCTGATAAAAACTGAGACCAGTTTTGTAAACTCTGATTTTGTTTTTCTAATGTCTCGACTTTAGGCACATAAATGGGAGAAAAAGGAAATATGTTTCGTTTGTGTGTGCGCGTGTGTTTGTTTGTAGATTTGTCTTTTAGCAAATTATTTCATGGGCCAGTCTATAGAATTTTATGAAAGTAATATTTAGATGTGCATCTACAAATTAATAATTGTTTGGATACAATTTGATTCAAAATGACCATCAAAGATAATTGACTTTTACCAGCACAATAATGGTTCTTACAGTTTTACAGATAGTGAGATAAATTTTAGCGTTAGAAGCTGAGGGTAATTCACAACTCACTCTGAGCAGTAACACATCATTTGAGGTTTTTGTGTAAAACAGGCGATGTGCATTCAGTCAATGAATGTTAGTTACACTGACATAAGAAGTGACTTTATTCTTAACATGCTCATTACACTTCAAGTAAAAATATAGTGCTTTTAGTGAAATTCACCTAACACACTTCCTGCCAGGTTAAATTTGGGACAGTAAATTTTCCGGTTGTCCCTTCACTGGAACGTTCGGATGGATGTCAGCCATTAGCTACACTGTGTGCAGTGAGTGAGGAAATGTTTACTGGGGACATTTCAAAGGATGAGGAGAGAAGAAAAACAGCTCACCCTTGGCGCGGTGATCCTCCTCTTTAGGACACTGTCCTCCCTCCCACCACCTCCTCTTCAGGATCTCCAGCCTGTTGTTCTCCTGCATCTGGAGGATGGCCTGCGTGATCTCTTCTCTGAACGGAGATCCTGGCACATGATAAGGAAAAGCAAAACAAGATGATGGCTGACAATGAGCAGCGAAAGAGAAAGGCTGTTTCAGACCAAAGAGCATCACAGAGCAGAATACAGAATCAAAAGAGGGAGATTTGCTCTATCTAGCTTTGAAGTGGATACAAGTGATCTTGTGGTAAGAAGAAAGAGAAGATTAGTGAGATAAACAACAAGATTACAACCAGAGACAGAGACAGCTGTGCAGCTGTTGAACAAATGATGTTATGAGTTAGATACACAAGAGCAGAATGAGGAGGATTTAAAGGGTAATCTGACTAAAAGCTGCAAATATATTTTCTCTGATACCATACTGACATCAAATAATTGAAACAGTCAAGTTCTCTGTAAGAAACACTCGAGAAAAAAGTATTGTTCCTTGCATGGAAGCCCAGATTAGTTCAGAAACAGCTGGCTCAAATAAGCACGAATAAGAAGAACAAGAAGAACAAGAACAAGAACAAAAAACAAGATCAAGAAGAACAAGAACATGAGAAAGAAGCAGCAGAACAAGAAGAAGAACAACAAAAAGAACAAGAAGAACAAGAGCAAGAAGAACAAGCACAAGAAGAATTAAGCTTGATATGTAAACAAAAGATAATAGTCAGATGTAAATGGGTTCTTGCAAGGTTGAGTTAGACTATTTGCTCAAATCTTGTTTTCTTCAGTAACTCGCTGCTCCCTGAAGAATACAACAAACAGAAACATCATGTTTTATTCATTGTCTCATGTCTGTGCTGAATAATAAGCTTGCTCTTTGTTATAATCTGCAGTTTATGTCAGATCATTACAGGCTATGAATCGCTCATCTGCAGCTCAAATAAAGCTTAAATAATCAATTAACTAACTGAACTTATTTGAATCTTCTTTAGCTCTTCATTGGTCTATAACTACAAGTAAACCGTGGCTGACCTCTTGATTAAAACAAAGCAGTGCTTCAATGAATAATACTAAATATCCAAAACAAGGAAAAATGCTCAAGCTGAGAATGTGAAAAGCAATCAGCTGTGTATTCATTACCCCAAGGTCAAATACTTATAATCCCACAGATAAAATTAAATCAGTACAAACTTTTTATTTTTTTCCAGGTCTGGTCTAACAAATCAGCTCCAAGTATTCGTATCTGGTTAGCATAATTGATCTCATGTGGGTGTTTCTGCATCTTTTACAATTGATGACTTGTAATCCTTCTGTTCTTTTTGTTAGTCATGTTTTATAGATTTAGATCTGGGATTACTCTCCGTCACACTCACACAAAACGCCCTCTGCCCTTTGCTGGAAATGCTCGTTAACACTCTCACACTTCCTCTACCAGATATTTCTGCTGCCAATGTTCAGTGGTTTTTCGGCAGATTATTACCAACTCTGTTTCTTGGAGAGTTCACTGGGGCTATAGGTGACCTACATTACTTTCAGCTGTAAATAGATTGCAGACTAATGATTTTGTCCTCGGCTATTTCAAAATAACAAGAGCTACTTCTTTGAGGAAAGTCAACCTTGAGCTGAAGAATTACAAGGGACAACTTAAATTTTACCCGTCAGAGAAGATTTCCTGCTAAACAGAGCAAAATACCACAATGTCTAAATGAGTACAATTCATCTTCATATCAGTCTTGTTAGTTATATCTGTCTCCCAGGAAAATGTTCACGTTTGTATTCCTTTTCTCCTGCACTGTCATCGATCTTTCTGCAACAAACCATGCAGGCAAAGCTGGATCATAACAAAAAATTTAAGGATTTGCCCTCCACCGCCGAAAGGCAAAGAATGTTTCTGCCTATGTCTGCGTGTGTGCGTGTTCATGTTATCAAAATATATTGTGAACTACTGAACAAAATTTGAAAGTAATCTTTGAATGTACAACATTTTAAGTTTGAAGACAACCCACTTAAAGATGGTCGCTGCAGCTTATTCACATTAGACAACATAAAATGACTACACTTCAGTCAATTTTACTGATATTGAGCTCAAATGAAAAGGGGTAGTAACTGAGCATGTTCCTCAACACAAACTCTGAGTATGCGTTCTCGTAATATTGCAGGAGATGGTGCATTTTTAAGGTTTGGCCAAAAAGGTTGCACCAGTTTATCAGCATAAGAAGACCGAAGTGTAGAACTTTAAGGAGGGGGTATACATTTCTTGAAGGAATGCCATATTAATCAGTTATGTTTGGATGAGCCATGGCTCTAATAGTAATTTTAATTGGTGATATGTGACTTATCTGTGCTGTTGATTATTCATGCTGCTGATCTCATGCTGCTGATTACCTCATACTGCTGTATTCACCCATCTGCTCACCACAGACTCATGTTCAGGCTGCTGCTGTTACGGCGTGTTGTTTTACATTATTAGTGTTTAGCGTATGATTAGATCTTTTAGCGCATCGTTTGGTGTTCGTCTAGCGACTATCTTAGTGTATATCTTAGATCCTTTCTTTTTATACGTTATATTTTTGGTATTTTTGGGTGTAACTGAGTACATAATTTTGTTCCCCCTCATGTACCACATGTGATGAGAATGACAATAATCTTAACTTGAATTTGAATAGTCCAAAAGAGAATGTTGTTTTTCCTTAATCAGAATTCGAATAGTTAAAACAAACAGAATGCTCTGGAGATGGAATCACAACACAAAAAGATTGTTGTTGTTTGCTTTGTTTTTTTAGTCTAATGAGTTAGTTTTTGTACTGCTATCTTTAATACTTCACACACATTCATAGATTTGCTTTGTCTTGCTTACTGCACCAATGTATTTATTTTTCATGCTGTGGTACAGATCATCTTAATCTGTTCAAAAAGAAAAACTTTTTTCATTATGTTTTTTTTTGTCAGCACTGCATGATTCTAATACAGGAGGTGCAGCAGAGATCCTGTGAAATGCTGCAGAGGTTGTGCAATAATACCTGCTCAAATCAGCTCAATACTTTTCGGATAAAATGTAGGTTTAATCCAAAACATGGCAGCTGTGTTTGTATTCTTTAAACCTCAGTTCACAGAGGAAAAATGCCTAACTGATTGTAACCTTTGAAACTACAAAAAAAAAAAAAAAAGGATTTAATCCGCATTACACTTCTTTTGAGAACCTTTTCACTAGTTCACTCAGAACTCATTAATTCATCATCATGTTTTGAATCTCTTTTTCAAAATCTGTTTTCAGCTGCCTGTTTAAAAAAAGGCAGCTTAAGAGATAAAAAGTGACTCAGTGAATGAGAACTAAATCTCCTTCAGTATAAAAATATAATGTGTGTCTTTATACACCTAATATCATCCCCATGTACTGGCAACTTTTCAAATTCATCTTTTATGTTCCGACACTTGTCTTTATAATATGACGTTTATTAATGATTTGTTTGTCATTAATATGACTTATCACTATTTTTCCAGATTTTTTATTATCAACCAATTGATCTTTTTAAAATTACGAATGCTCTTGCTCAAAGTCAGGATTTTGTGGTGCATTGTGGTCTAGATAGGGTGATGCCTACTTCTGGTTTGCTGACATTAAGGTTGTTTTCACACCTGATTATCAATGTTTGAGCTCTGCTCTGCAGTCCTTCTGATGCCCGCCGGCAGCATTGCATGTTGCTTTCAGAATGTAAAATACTTATAAAACTAATTTACAAATACAATTGTTTATAAAAGCAAACAAAAAAGGGACAAAAACAATAGAGTTAAATGCCAACATGAAATAGCCATGACCATACTGAATTGTGTGATGCATAATTATACAAATGCACATTAGTTACTGTAACAGGTGGCTGGATCTTTTGCGTAAAGAGACTGACAAACAAAAAACACTGTTTAAAAAAAAGTGCTGCTGCTACACAAGGAATAAGATGTTTTGTTTTGCGCTATTCACTATAGCATGAATAGCTACTTTACCATACCACAAATTTAAAATTAACAATGTAAAAAAACGTGTAAACACTTTTTCAGGAAAAAGAAAATGGCGGTCTCACCCCTGATTATAAGTGGAGACAGTGTGGAGATATTAGCTTACTACCATTTCCTGGGAGTCCATATTGAGGGGAATCTGACCTGGAGCGTGAACCTCTCCGAGTTGTTGAAAAAGGCCCAGCAGAGACTGGACTTCCTGAGAGTGCCAGGAGGAACATCACCCAGAGACTGCTGGTGTCTTTCTACCGATGCTCCATAGAGAGCATCTTAAGATGCTGCATCACTGTGTGGTATCTTAGCTGCACAGTGGCTCAGAGGAAAGTGCTCCAGAGAGTTATCAACACAGAGTAAAAAATTGTGGGCTGCCCTCTTCTTTCACTGGAAGAGCTAAACAGTGAAAAGCCCACAATATCCTAAAGGACACATCTCGCCCTGGACATTATCTGTTTGAAATGTTACCGTCAGGGAAAAGGTACAGATCAGTCAAGATAAGAACAAACAGGTTTTTATCCATCAGCTGTTACTGAATTTAGCAAAAGCTGCAATAAGAACAGAATAAGTGCAATAAGGGACAACTTATATAATATCAATCTGCTTGTGTTGCACATTTATGGGTGTTTAAAAGCTGTAATTATTACCTTTTATACAGTTTATATATTTGTTTGTTTGTTTGTTTGTTTTGTTTTATATTATACTGATTTTACTTTTGCTCTGGGAAGCAAACCCATATTTTGTTGTATTTAGGTGCAATGCCAGTAAAGATCTATTCTATTCAATTATATTCTATTCTATTCTTATCTAAAGATTGATGTTATAGAATCATGATTTTATTATGCTATTACCTAAAGGCAGGCCAATGCCGTAGCCCTTGGTGTCCAGCAGGCCTCCTATCTGCGTGAGGTTACAATTGAGGCCTCGATGGTACTCGTTCATCGTGCTCTCCATCAAAAAGGCATACTTGGAGTTGAGCACGCGAGCGATGCCCTCCTCCGTGCTTTTAACAAATACACTGGGCAGCTTAGAGTTCATGTAGTTCCACATTCTCTGATACGTTTGGTACCGCGAGTTCTGCAGAGAAATGAAAACACAAGAATAGGGATTCAATTTTTGTAGAGAAAAGTGTTTAAACAAACTTCCCAAAATGCACAAAATGTCTCTGAATAAAGACAAGGAAAAGAGAAAGTGCATACAAAGAATAGACAAATCTTGAATGAACATCGATGAACAGAATACAATTTCAAAGGCAATTAAAAAAAAACTAAGAGTAAAAAGAAATACATGCTTTTTGTTTTGTGTTGGCTAATGTTGATTAGTTATGGAGGCTGTGTAAAGTTGGACTGGCTCTAATAGATAATCAGTTGTAGATGTACCAGTGGTTACTTTCTGAAAGTTTATTAAAATCCAATGAGTGGTTCATTATATCATTTTGTTAATTGACAAACAGGATTGACTTCCACCATTGATGCTGATTGGAAAGAATGTAAATAATAAGTTTAGTGACATTTGACCAAAAAAGAAAAACAGCCCTTTTGCTCTTATGTACACACACCATGGTTATTGTGAGGGAAAGACTTGAGATAAGGCTGTCAGGAAAATAAAAAATCTGAACAAAAGCAAACACTGGACTGACTTTTATCTGCTGAAGAGAGTTGGACAACATGCAAGATAGAGGCTCATTTAGCATCTTAGCTGTTTAAAAAAGTTCCTTTTCATTTTAGTTGTAGCCAATTTATGTTTAGCACATATGCAGTTTTGAAATGTTAATTTAAAAAACTTGAACTTTATGCTGCAGCTGGAAATGTGAGAAAAAAGAAGAAGGTATGTGTGTAATGATGTGTTTGAGTTTTGTGTGTTTGTGTAGATTAGGCACCATTGGGTGACATAATGTTCTGTAACGATGGGACCAGCTAATGCTGGCAGAGACAGACAACTCTATATCCTCAAAGCAGACAAACATTCAAGAGTAAAAAAAATACAATATAGCCACTTCCCTCAAATCCAGGAGTAAACACAATTTTTAAACACTCACACATTCGTCCACAGGCTAACACCGTCAGACAAAACACACTATGACAAACACAGATGTCTGCTCAGAAGCCTGAGGTGTGCTCATAGGACCAAACACAGGCAGGCGGCCACTCAACACAAACAGACATAAAGAAAACCACAGAGAAACTCTGAGGCATGGTGGCAAACATCAACACAGTCACTCAAATCACAACAAACAGGTCTGAAACCCAACACTTATCCCACATGCATGCACAAATTAATGAACCGCAACATCTACATAATCTGAAAACCAGCTTCTGTCCATAGTCGTACCATGAAGAAAGTCATGGTGCTCCCTCCATGAATGGTTCCATACTCGATGTTGGTCTGATCGGCCAAATCATCTGGAGACTCGATAGGAACCTCCATCCTCTGAACGGTAAGGAAGGCCGCCAAATTGGCCGTGTAAGAGGAGATTATTATCAACGTGAAGGCCCACCTGTAGTAGTAAAACAAAGGAGATAAACGTTAAGGTGGTTTGTAACAAAAGGCACACATACATATGACAATACAGTTTCTGGACTAAGATTTTAAACAAACCAAGCAAACAAACAAAAAAATATGGCTGATCCTGTAATGGTGAGATCTTCCAAAATGATATTTATTTAAATTTAAAATCCCCAAAACAACCAATATTGGTTTAAATAAACCAACCACATATTTCAATATAAATATTACTGCAACAACTGAGATATTTCACTCCCATAACCTTGAAAACGCTTACCGTCTTTGCATGTCTACCTACTAAATTCGAGGAGAACATTATGTGCTCACCACACATTCATTTTCTTTATCACACACAACTGTGTGTAAATTGCTGTCCCTGTTCTCTTCTACCTTTTGTCTCCTAAGTTCTTAGCTATTTATCTTTCCTTCTCAGCAAACACATCATTCCCAGTAACTCTTGCCACAGGAGTATAATCAGGCAACAGAGCATTTTAGTCAGCTTTGTGTTCATTCCTTGTTTGCATAAAATACTGTGTCTGGTATTTACTTGTATTATAAAACTAATTATCTATTTGAAGGATCTAACAGATATGGTATGAAAGCAGAGTCAAAGAAAAAAAAAATCAAGGAATGATACTCAGCAGTGATATCTCAGATGGTTAATCCCTTCCAGACATTTTAAAAGATGAAGTCTTTTTGATTGGAAGTGAAAGAACCAAAAAGTAAACCCAGTTGGCTTCTAGGGAAGCTCTAAGAATTATAAAGTGGTAAGAAAAAAAAATCAAGCACATAGTCTCCTTCTCCCTCATTAGCTTCCAGGCCCACTCATATCACAAATGCTGTATGCCTTCAAGTTTTAGAAGTGCACACTGACTGAAAACTTTCCCTTCGGAAGATGAATATAAATGTGTTCTTCTCTATTTCACTCAATTTCCTACAAAGTAAAGGTCAAACTACCAAATGAAGAGACAATGAAAACCAGCCATGTCTGAATGGATGGGGGCATTGAGATTTTCAGCTGTTACGTACCACACACCACTGACACATCTGGTCGACAAAGCTCTGGGCATTATCTCTGATCCCTGCTGCATGAAGCCGCCAACGGGGAACCATAGACTGTTTCCCAGGGTGTACTGGTTCTCCAGCACGTCCCTGCGCTCCCGCAGACAGGGGTGAGGGTTGTACCATTCATAGGGGCTCAACCTGGTCAGAAAACAAAAGGTAAATGGTAAATGGACTGTACTTTCTATCTTATCAAGATACTCAAAGTGCTTTACAACACAATCTGTCCCCTGATTTACCTATTCATACAACACTCTACTAGATCTATACAAAGAACAATCAATGATTTATCACATTCATACACCGATGGGACACACATCGGAGGCAATGAGGGGTTCAGTGTCTTGCCCTGGGACACTTCGGCATGTGACTGCTGGTGGAATCGAACCCCTAACTCTTGCATTGGAGGAAGACTGCTCTAACCACTCAGCCACAGCCTCCCCAAACAGGTACAAACTGAAACATAGTAATGTACATCTGATGAAGCCTTCACGCCAGTCAATCATTCAGCTCCATTCTAACTGCCTGCGAGGATTGAGTGGAGTAAAAAGCATTGACGTATGACAGGTGACTTGCGTTTAAATGGCAGCAGAGCTTTGATGTGGGCTGCAGACAATCAGTACAGAGTGTGATGTAATGTACTGACCTCGCTGCCAGGAAGAGCACACAGCTGACAGCCAGGTAGGCGAGTAACATGAAGAGCCAAACAGCTGGAGAGAAAGGATCGAGGAAAGAGAAGTAACCTGGCTTACGACCCTGGAAAAGAGAAAGACAATAAAAGGAAAAGCTGTACAAAGATGATGAAACAGAGGCGGACAGTGATGGACTCACAGACAAGAAGCTACGTGTTATAAAAGAAGGGTTCCCTTTTGCACCACAGGAGGGCAGTGTCCTTCTCGGCTCTTTGATACAATGTATGCAGTGCTTTGATACCCTTATGCTACAATCCATAAATGCTCTGTTTAACAATGCTTTCTGCAGAAGCGTGCCTGCAGGAGATCCTAAACCTCATTAGAAATGTAAAGCTGCCATCATTACAGAGCTCTAACTTACTGTACAAAAATAAATTATCCCTATAAAGTTCAGCATAAACTCGAACAGATACAATCTGCTTTAAGAAGGAGGATCAACATTTATGCACATATATAAGCAGTTTATTTCATTTTAACAAGGGTTGTTTTTTATCTTTTGCATTAAAACTTGAGCTTAGGAAAAGTACGATTAATGTCAAGTCCAAAACAAGACCTGAAGAAGGTATCACCCAGCAGGTGCCCTACAGCCTGAGATAACTCCCTCACCAATTGAACTCGGTACAAGATGCTGATCCCCAGGGTCATGAACGGCTTAGAGAAGTCGATAACTTTCTCTCGTTCTGATGTGATGGTGAAGCCCGCCACAGCCAGGTCTGCTTTCTGAAGGATTGACAGAGATGGATAGGTGTAGAGATGGCAGCGGGGCGAGAGGGAAGTATAAGAAGTGATGGAAAGAGACAAAAAAGGATAGGTGCAAAAATAGAAAGACAAATAATACTGCACTCTCTATAAAATGCTGATTCTCTAGAGAAACTGGTTAAAGTTTGACTGTGCTGCTGAAAAAAAAAGATTTAATGAAACATAAAGATGTGGATTCTCACACTGTCAGTCCACAATTCTAATTAGTCTAATTGAAGATAAACACTGGGTGGCTGGTCTGCCTACCTGCACAAAACCGGCAGGTCCTGGTTGTTCTGCCTTCCTTCCATCTCTTCCATTAAAAGCTAATTGATGAACACGGGCCACTAATTAGAGCCGAGTGATCAGGCTAGGAGGGCGGGGACGGAGAGGAAGTACAGAGAGCTGGGGGAGCACCACTGTGGCAGACCCCACACAGGGACCTCAGCTTGGTAATTGAAGTATACCGGATGGTAATTAAACAGAGAGGGGCTCTCATTAGCCTGCTTCAACCAGAATGTCAGTCACAGGCGCAATAGGCCAAGACAGGGAGAAGAAAATATGAATATATATTTAAATACATGTACAATAAATGGGTTAGTAGTGGTTTCCTGCAAGGAAAGACAGCACGAGCAATTTCAAGCCATTTTACCACTGTCTTTTGGGGAATTATCAATTCAGCTTTTGTCCTAGATAAGAGTCTTACTCCCCTCTGAGGGCAATTTGAGACATGGGAAGTTACAGCCGAGTTGTGGTTTGGGGCTAAAGCACGAGAGTGTGTATACATGTGTGCATACAGAGTTGTGTGTTTGTCAGAGGTTTTTGTTTGTAAGGAGACTGGTTATGACATTTGGGCATGTTTTTGTATATTCTGGAGATTACTCACCCTGTTGATTAGCTCTCCAACCATGCCAGTCCAAGAGCCGTTGGGCTCTGGGGCCCCGTACAGCCCATCATCCACCAGCTTGATCTTGAAGGAGAATTTCAAGATATCTGCCAGCTCTCTCAGCATATCAACACAGAAGCCCTCGTACTGGTCGTTGCCTTCAAAATCTTGATAATTGTCTTTACGCATCACATACGGGTTCTCCTGCGCACGAGAGATACATGAGACGTCTCAATTCAAAGCAGCTAGTATCCAGTTTTAGCAGAGATTATTAACTGGATTAAATGAATCATTTATGTTTTGGAGACTGGGCTCATTTGCTTTCTAGCTGAGATTTTAGATATGTTAATTAAAGATGTGGTTAAATCCTGAGATGATAAAGATGGATCAGTAAGAGGTTTGAAAGTAGCACAAGCTCTATCAAATCCATACGCAGCACTTCCCAAGCTCCCTTATTAATGTGTTCAGCACATAGAAAGTGTTGCCTTTATGCTGTGCTACACTAACTACCTTAATATTTAATGAACTGACACAACTGGCATCAGCTTTCTAAAATCGTTTACAAATTATCTGTAAACACACAAATCAACATGTTCCTTGAAGACATTACATTCATATATACATTTCCGTTACCCTCTTCTTCCTTTTCAGGTTATGAGGGTCACTGGTCATATCCAGCCATCACTAAGAGAGGCGGGGTACACCTGGACAGGTTCAAGTCCATCACAGGGATGCATAGAGACAAACAACCATTCAAACTCTCACTCACACCTACAGACAATGTAGTTACCAATTAGACAAACATGCATGTTTTTGGTCTGTGGGAGGAAACCGGAGTACCTGGAGAAAACCCACACATGCACCGAGAGAACATGCAAACTCCACCCAGATCAGTCCCTGGCCAGGATTTGATCTGGCGACCTTTTCGCTGAGAGGCAACAGCTCTAACAACTGAGCCGCATGAGCCTGAAGACTTAACAGCAGGCTCCTGTTTGTATTTTTCTTACTGCATTCAATTTAATTTGCTTACAGAAGATTTTTAACATTGTCATGCATAAAAATGTGTTTGCCCCTTTGTTTGGAAAATTAATCTGTGAAATCTGTAAACTAAAAAGAGTGAATCATAAAATTAAAAGAGAAGGGCTGATAGATGCACCATGGTATTTTTAGGATACTTTTTCCAGGAGTTGGACCAGACCTGAAGATAAAGTATACCGTCTTAGTTTGACCCTTACATTTTTTTATCTACCCTTTTGTAAGTGTCCTACAGATATGAAAATCTAATACCAAATTGCTTTCAAAGACATAATTTGATAAGATGGCTGCAGACACAAGTGAGGGAGGCAAAAAGACTCAGATTAAGGAATCTGACCACTGAATTAAACAGGTGTAGATATACTTTGCTACCAGCAATGGTCTGACTAAGAGCAACTGAATTCTCTAAAAACTGATGTGGAAAAACTAAATACAACAACTTTTTTTTATTAAACTATAAATGACCATTTCTGGGAAGACTGTCATCAGTGGTTAAGAAACATTGGTATACGAGGAGAGCTGCAGTCACTATACCACTGGTACAATCTAACGTACTCCTCAGATTAAACCAAACTACTGTTGTTACAACACACAGTGAAATTACATCACCTTCTTACAGCAGTTCCCTCTTCAGGGTCTGCCACAGCAAGTCATCCTCCTTCATCTAACTGTTCTCTGCATCCTCTGTCCTCACTCCAACTACCTTCGTGTCCTCTCTAACTGCATCCATATATCTTCTCTTTGTCTTTTTCCTGGCAGCTGCACTTCTAACATCCTTCTACCAATATACCCACTGTCCCTCCTCTGGAAATGTCCAAACCATCTCAGTCTGGTCTAACTTTATCTCCCAGTTGTTCAACCTGTGCTGTGCCTCTGATTATCTCATTCCTAATCGTATCCAGCTTTGTCACTCCTAAGAAGAACCTCAACAGCTTCATTTCTGCCACTTCCAGTTCTTTCTCCTGTTTTAGCATCAAATCATATGACATAGTACTACTACTCTATACGACAACGATAAATTTCATAAAATGCCTGAAATGCATTAGGATGCTTTTTAAACATTTTATTAAGGCATTGTAACAGTTGTTGGTTCTTTGTCCTGGGTCAACATTGTTTACAATATTTGAAACTACAGAACAGTAAGTGATCTTAATGAGTTCATTACAAAATATAGAAACTAATGTAATTATTTTTTCAACTTGAAATTATTAAAAAAATACCTTAAGTAATGATTTGTAACAAAAACAATGTACAAATGAGGTGATAAATGAGGACAGTTGGTGATGTTAAGTCCTACTGATCTGTCTTCATCCTCGAGCGTATCACATTTAATGACCTTAAAACAGAGATGCATTATAATGCTAGTATAAGAGGGCAGATTCAAAGTTCCCTGACCACACAAACAAGAAATGACATGTCTACTTTATCTGTGCATCAAAAATGCTAAACTATTTTTTGATGATATTACTTTCAGAAAAGATGGATGTTCTTTTACAGATACAGATGAAGATGATGGATCGGCATCACGAGGGACATCACTGATTTTATTATGACCAAAAAAGCACACAAAGATCTAGAGGACAGAAGGGCATTATTATTAGAAGAGCAGCCTTTTGGCAGTCTCATTTAAGTAACACATTCTTCTCAGTGCTCTGTCAGTTTCTATGACAGCTACGGCGACAGCTAAATTGCCAGAAACAGACCAAAACACAGCATGAGCTCCAGCACAGAGCGTGTAGGAGCACAGAAACACTGCAGTCAACAGCACGGACACTTACGAGGTAACTGTGACCTTACCAGAATTGTGGTGACAATGAGTGTCTTGTTTGCCAGAGTCTCTGAGACATTAATATCCAAGCTGGTGGAGTTCATTGCCAAAGTGTTGTTGGAGTACCAGATTCCAATCTGACAGAGAATACAAAGCAAGGGAAAATCAATAACTATTACGGGATAAATAATGTACCGTTAAGCTTCGTTGCACTTGTTTGTATCTTGTGGTGCTACATGTTCAAGTTTATCAGTCAGGACATCAATCCTGGTGGTGTTTTTTAATAATGCAAACACCATTACATGTATTGTTTTTTTAGACTTTGTTGTTAGCATTCATAACGTTGCACACTGTAAATCTTTGCAGATGTGATAGCTCCCACAGGAGCCAAATAACACTTGCAGCAATATGCTCTGTTATAAAGCAAATGCCATTTACAAGCAAAGCAACGAGCTGGGAACAAGGAGGCTTGGACAATAATGAAATGCCTTCATGATCAACCACTTTATTTCTATGTCCTTTTCCTTTTGCTCACACCTTTCTTAAATTGCACAACAGAACATTTACTCCCGTTTTACGGAGACAGTAAAGTCACTTAGGTACGTAAGTGTGTGATTATGACCTCTCTGATGTGCAGGGTGGATCAGCAGCTCACAGAGGCATTTCTTTAGGATTATTACTGCACATCTTTCAGTGGGTCAGAAGAAAGGTAATGGCTCTACAGACCGAATCGCAGCTTTTCTATTACCGTTTTTATCCCACACTGACATTTAAGAGTGGTCTTTTTATCTGTGAACTGCTGCCGCCAGCCAACAGTGGATGTCGCCATACAAGGGGGTGGGCAGAGTTAAAATGTTAATTACTACAGCCAAACTCTCCACTGAGTTCGAGCTTAGCTTAAGTGAGAAAATGACATTTTGTTCAAGCATGAGAGACAGAGGTCTGGAAGACACTGAGGAGAGGTGTGAAGGAAGTGTTTTTCTGTAGTGATGTGAGTGAATCACTTTGACTTTAACAAAGTCCATGTTCAATAATCCAGGTATACAATCCAACATTTTTTAGTCAGGTCATCTGGACACTAACTTTATTTTCTTTAATGTGAAATTTTTCCTCTCGCTTCCCATTTATGCTAACTGAAAGATGCCACAATGAAATAATGCTTCATCACACTGATTTGGCCTTCCAGCGTTTTATTTTAGTTCCACAAACTGGATTATTGAGCATGAACTTTGGTGTTTTGAACCACTTTGACATGACCGTCTCAGAGGAGTGGACGAGGGAGAGGGGTGGCCCCAGAGGAGAGGGTGGGTCCCAGAGAAGAGGGCGTGCCCCAGAGGCCATAGCACCAGCAAATTGTTTGTTTTTTTCTACTCTGGAGTATGCTGTTGGTGGAGAATCAGTTTTGTTTGGTGGTTCCTCAGATTGAAGAAGTCCTTTGGATGATGGACAAAATGTCTCAGCAGAAAAATAAACCATCCAGATGACCTGACAGAACATTGTTAGATTTAAATAAGGCTACATTTTCTTGGTCAAATGTTATAAAGACTAGATTACCTTACCTGTTTAAATGAATGTTTCTCCTTTTTTTTTTTATCTTGTTCAGTGTTTGTTTGTTTGTTTGTTTGTTTTTACTTTGTGTTGTATTCGTTATTTTGTTGTGTATTTTACAATTTAAACAGTAACAGGTACATTTTTAAAATAAATCCTAAAATGCATTTGTATTTGGTACTTTTAAAACTTCACAGTTGCAGTTAATAATCAAACTTTGAACAAAATAATTGTTTTCTTGTTTGGTTGGTTGAAAATTTCATAAAACAACACGAAGTTTAAAACTTAAAATTTTCAATAAGTGGCACCCAAATATTTCAGGGCACAATTTCATCTAACAGAACTCCAAAAGACATACAGAAAACATTATGTTCTACACAAAACAGACTTCAGTTCTATTCTTTTAACATTAGAAACATTATATAAAGAGTAAAAGACATGAAAAAAATGAATATATATGTAAATTTACTAGAGTATTTAAAAACAGTAAACACCAATGAATGCTTTCAGTATTTATACTACAAAATGTAAAGTTGACATTCAGCAGGAAGTGACTAAACAGGATAAAAAACAATGTGAATGAATCTAAAAATAAAAAAATAAAAAGCAATGATTTGAATCAAAGCTGAAGGCTAAAGAAGCCACACTGTTCCAGCAGCATTCAAACATGATCATTTATTTAGATCTGAAACACGTTGCTGTCTGCAAACAGGTTACTCTAATGGACTGTCAGGTGAAACACATGTCAGTTTCATAAAATTCAGCTCTGGGCATCATGTGGGAAGTCTGTGATGAGGCTGACTTCAGTGTGAAATGCCTCCCCTGGCTTTGTAAAATCATACAGGTGACCTGAATGAACCCAAGGCCTATGGCCACTGTGGCCTGGTTGTTACATCATAACAGGTGGCTCCTGACCTCTTTGTGGCCTCCTCTGTGTTTCTCCAGGATCCGCAGGGTGTAGTTGGTCCTCTGACCTTTGCTGTTGAACTCCACTCGTCCTGTCAGGCCATCGTACTCCACCTGAGAGCAAGATGGGGAGGAAGATGAGGATGTTTGACAGTAAAGACAATGATAGTAGAGGGGAAAAAGACACAAACATAAAGGGAGAATGTAAGTAACAACAGGAGACAGACAAAAAACAAAATGTGTAGTCTGTGTGAAACTATCCATCATCATTAAACAGCTACAACCAACAGTTATCTGGAGGCAAGGAAATGAAATAGTGGCTAAAGCTTTCCACGACAAGGTTGATCAGTTTCAGATCAACTAGGAGAAAGAGACTGATTGAGAGGCTCAGACAGGGCAGAGGAGAGAGTCAACAGAGCTCTAATAAGACTCAGACCTGCACGTCACGGCTCAGCATGGCAACTCCAAAACCCAGGTGCTGGCACAGTTTGAAGGAACTATGATGAATGGCAGAGTGCTGAAGATGGAGCACACCATGATGTTGACTAACAAAGACAGATGTCGGGCAGATGGGCCTCAGGCAATGAGAGATGGGACACAGGCTGCCGTGACAACAGGTCGTCGGTGAGGTAAGCAGACGACCAGAGATGGTAGATGACAAAAAATAAACAACAATAACAACAGAGGTTATGTTCAACACGAGATGCAAAGATTACACTTTGTAATCCTACATGTTTTTCATTCATGAAGAAGCTAATAAACTGTCAAAAACAGAGATTTATAGTATAAAGAGCTAGTTCAGATCTTTTGATGGTTCAGTGAATAATAATATCCTGAAATGTAAGAATTTCTGATTTCATGTGATCTAATAAGACAATCTACTGCATTTTAATTAAGTGTTAAAGCGTTAATTATAATCATAATTCATCACTCTGAAAATTGTTTTTCCTTTTTCGATTTTAACTGAAAAAATAAGCTAGAATATTCATCCAATTATCAACACGTAATGTTTTATTTCATCCCATCACCAGTCTAAAAAGACAAAGCTAAGAACTTCAGATAAAATATTTGCCCTTTCTGTTTTGAAAATTACTTCATGAGTTGATTGATTGTTATTACGGAAAGATTAATTTCAGCTACACCCTGATTATTTCAGCTCTAATTGGAAGATGTCACCTCAGGCTTTAGGAAATTGTAATGGGTCTTTTCTAACACTTTATTGATAATTTGAAAATGAGCAGCAGCTTATTCAACGTTGAAAAGAATTGTTAGTTTCATTCTTCTCATTATGATAAAGGAGTGACTCTAAATGAAGCTGCCACATTAAATGTTCACATGAGTGTATATGTCTTGAGAAATAAAAAATAATAGAAGAATTAAATATTAAAATGTTCCCTCTTGGTGTTTTGTATACAGTAGCATAAACAGGTTTGGGTTTTGATTGAGCAGAAGAGAAAGAGAGAATTAAAAAAACTAGAGAAACTGCATTTCCTACAAAAATGCCATGTGAATGCTTGTTTGCTGAAAAACAGTTGAAATTAGCTTTAAAAAATGCTGAATTGCAGCTGAAATGATATAACAAGCATAAATGAGCAGAAGAAGGCAGAAATAACACATTTTTGCTGGATTAGGTTTAAATGAGAAGAAATGAGCACAAAAAATAGGAAATTTACTAAATAAAAAAAGCTGAAATTAGCAACAACAACAACAACACAAAAAAGGGGACAAATAGCTGAAAAGGCAGAAAGAAGCTTAAACTGCCCGAAAGAAGAGGCAGAAGCTGAAATGAGCCAAAAAATGTGGAATTAGTTGAAAAAGCAGAATTAGCAGAATTTTTTTCATTTTTCATTTACCCTTTATTTATACAGGTAGTCTCACTGAGCCAAGATAACTCATTTTCAAGAGAGTCCTGTTTTTGGAGCAGATGGTGGGAATTAAGGGCCTTGCTCAGGGGCCCAGGGTGGGGCAGGTGAGGGTGGAGGCAGGTATGGGTGTTTCACCTTTACCACCCACATTTTGATGTTGATGGTACCGGGAGTTGTTCCTGTGACTTTCCAATCACAGGTCCATCTTTTCTGACCTCTGTGCCACCACTCCCCCTTAAAAACAGCTAAAAAGTAGCTGAAATAACAGAAAAAGCTGAAACTAGCAGGAAAAAAGCTAAGATGAGCATAATGAGCTGAAATTACCATAAAGAAGTTAATCAGGTTGAAAGTAGCAAAAATTACCATGGAAAACTTGAATTTATCCAAAACAGCTGAAATTAGATAAAACAATGTTAAAAAGGTAGGTGAAAAGTTAGAGCAAGCTTAAATTAGCAGAAGAAAGCAGAAAGAACATGTTTGCTCAATTAGGCCAAAAGAATATGACCACAAAAAAGTGGAAATTATCTGAAAAAGCTGAAATTAACTAAAAAAACAGCTGAAAAGTAGCTAAAAATGCAGAAAGAAGCTTAAATTACAAGAAGGGGATGGAGAGAGCACATTTTTGCTGAATTAGGCTGAAAAAAGTTCAAATGAGTGCAAAAAATGTGGAATTAGCTGAAAAAGCTCAAATTAGCATAAAAACAGCTGAAATCACAGAAATAGTGAAACTTGCAGCAATAAGCTGAAAGGAGCATAACAAGCTAAAATTATCGGAAATAAGTTAGAAGAAGCACAAAAATGTTGTAGTTTGCAGACAGAATCTGAAATGGGCACAGAACAGCTAAAAACAACTGAAATTAGCTGAAAGTAGTTTAAAAAGTTTAAATTAGCATAAGGAAACTGAAAAAAACTGAACCAGAACAAAATGTGAAAGAAGCAGTAAAAGGTTTAAACAGATCTAAAGATTTGAAGGATATAAAATGAGCTCAATTCATTTTCTATGAGGAAAAAATGGCAGAAAAGGTTAAATATTTCAAAAAGCTAAAGTTAAACCAAAATCAAAAGTCATATCAGGATTTTCCTGAAAGAGCTGAATGTTTTGAATTATGATTTGTTGAAATAGCACAAAAATTATGGAACAAGAAAGATGCAGAAAAAAGTAAGGAAGAAAATGGATCACGATGGAATAAATGCTTCTTAAGCATTCATACAATGATTGGTGTAATATTTTTAAATGTATAATCTAAATGTCAAAAATATAACCAAATACCAGACTTTTTTATTCAGTATTGTTGCTATTAGAACAGAGAATAAGCCCACTAGAACCTCCGTCTACAGGAAACACTTATCCACAGCTCGAAAACTTCCAACGCTTCAACCAACCGTCAGCATCCACGGCTCCTAAAAGCTGCTGCCCGGCAGGCTCAAAAAGCAAATATTTAATCCCCACAAAGCGGAACAATCTTCTCTGTTAGTGTGATCATTACAAAATGGCAGTTAAGGAAGAAAGCATTATTCAGAAAAGCAAAAAAAGTTTTTGACAGAACTGCTTGGAGGATTAACAGGCAGGGAAAGTCAAAGTGCTGTTCTCAATGTAAAAGTCTTGCAGGAGATTTTAGGAGACATTACAAGTACAAATAATGCTTTAATAAAAATAAAGGTTTTTTTTTTTTTTTGCCCATCACAATGACAAATTATAGCAAATAACATCATTACAGGTAGGTAGCCAAATAAACAACCCTGAAGTATTCTGGAAATAGTTCTGTAAACCAGTAAAGTTAAACTGAACATTTTGGCTGTAATATCAAAGTTTGGGGGAATTTTTTTTTTTTTTTTTTTTTTTTAAGAAAACTAGAACTTTAAAATGCATCTTCACAATTTTGGGTTGTCTCACTAAAAAGAGTCTTAAAAGATGAAAATGAAAATGAGGACAGGCTTTATGACAAACACCTACACCTAAATTTAAAGATGACCTTCACTATCAGCTTTTCAAAAATACTTCTCATAGATCTGTAGGCAAAGCTCAGAAAAGCGAAACATAGAAAATCAGAATTGCACCGAATTTGAACAGACATCACCAAAAGTGTTTGCAAAGTGTGGCATTTATCGAAAGCATTAACCAGGCAGGAAGCCTTTTTGTTATTTTCAAAATGAAAAAATGCTTTTGGACTAAATCGCTGAAGCACATTTAAAATATCTTTTTATTGTATTGCTTTATTTAATTTATTGCAGGGGCTCTAGCTTATGCATCCTACTGTGTTTGTCCATAACCATTTAACTGAGCTTGCACACATTAAACGACAGCATATACTACAGAAATGCCCACTTCAGGAGCGTTTACCATGCGCAGGTAGTTCATGAGGCTGGTCCCGTGTTGCCAGATCTGAGGCGAGGTGCAGCTGAGTGGCTTCACTCCAATTTCCTGACTGCGGTTCAATTCCCTCACCGCCCCCACCACAACATGCACCGCATCAAACATCAGCGCCGAAGAGAGCTGTGGAGGAAGAGGATGTATGGGAGATAAAGGTGGAGGAGGAAGAAAGGACAGGATGGATGGAAAAATGCAGGGAAGACAGGAAAGGAGACAAGGCAGAAGATGTAATGAGGCGGGCGGTGCTAGCATAGGTGATTGAAGGGATAACAACATTGGAATGGGGAGGGAGGGGAGGAAGAGAAGAGAGAAATATTAGGAAAGTGTGAATTGGAAGCAGAGATGGGTACAGTTCATAAATACAGGATAAAGACTGGCTAAACCTCTTTAACTGCTCCATGAATCAGCATGAGAAATTAAGCAGCTTAACTTTAACTGGCAAACCAACAAAGCTCTAAAAGAAGTACGAATCATTTGCATGCATGAGTCCTCGCGGGTGCAAGACACTAACAGCAGGGCCGGGGTAGGTCAAATCGCAGGCCTCCCTCCAGGAAAGATTCAGGCTCCTGATGAACTCCAAATAGAACGGGTGTGTGGTGTTAAACATGGAGAAACCCACAATGTTGGACTGCTCATCCACTATGTCATCCAATCTCAACAGGGGGAAGTCCTGAGGAGGCAGGGGAGGAAAACAAGGGGCAGGGTGTTTGCAGAGGGAGAGAGGAAATTCAGGTGAGTGACAATGTTGACAGTGTATCAAGTTCCCAGCACAAAAGAAAATTACTGCGCAAAGAAGAGTGCAATAACAAAACAAAAAAACAGGCTGCTGGGAGTGACAACATCTAATATTTGATGGAGAGAGACAACAAGAATATTGTTAGCTTGGAGAAGAGGGGAAAACAGCGATACGAGGATAAGAGGGGTTGATGGAATAGACTCGAGTGGCTTTTCAAAGTGATACGCCGGCACAAGAACACATCAGAGTGCAGTGAAGGAGGAGAAAATAAAAATCAGACTTTAAATGACATTAATTCAAATTCTAAAAGGGGATGGGAGTCTTGTATATATCTAGGAGGCAGATGAAAAGCCAAGAAGCATGAAGAAGGTGGCGGGTTGCAGAGGGAAAAGGAGCACATTGCATCTGTCATCACTTTCACCTCACACCCCCTTTTTTATCGTCCTCCTCTGCACATCCACATCTCTGAACTGCATGTTTGCTCTTCAGATTTTTTCCCATCTTTCATCTCTTCTTCCCTTTTTCTTTCGGCTGTCACCTCCCCTTATCAAACAATTTCCCTGCCTTAGCACCTTTACTCACTCGTACCAAGGCCGAAGAGAAGGAGGAGAAACAAGCAGGGGGAAATGAAGGGGAGATAAAGGAACAATCGGCATGTTCTTACCATGGTGGTGAGGATGTACTTATAAAATGCTGATGTCATCCCCAACTCTGACGCCTGCAGGACAAAGAGAAAGAATACAATGAAAAATAAAGAGGGAGACAGGTGAGATGTGCACGTGGAAAGTGGTAATAAAATGAAAGAGGACAAAGGAAGATTGATGGCGAGGGGAAAAGAGACGAAGGAAAAGAGTTAATGAAGAGGCAGAGAGCAAGGAGAATGTGAAAGAGGAGGAAGAGTAGGAAGCATACGTTAATCACAGTTTTACATCATCACGCTAACACTAGGACATTTAGCCGAGGGCGGACAGGCTCTCCAAAAGAAAACATCCTATTCAAACTGTGACTCACTGCGCTGGCTATCGGTATTAGGATGAATCAGAACAAGCCCGGGTAACATCTGCACCACATCCCGGCAAAAGATGTTCTTTTGTCAAAAAAACAAGATGTTTGTTTTTGTCAGAAACTTTCAGAAGACTACAACTAATTGACATGCAGAAATATCTCTCATGTGCAGCTCCAGAGGGCAGATAAAGTAACAAAGGTGTTAATTTTGTTACAATTAGCAGGTTCCCTGAAGAACTTTGAACAGCTTGTTTGAATACTTTACAGATGGTGAGGCCTAATGTGAAATTTCCATCATACCAGAAAGAAACGCCATGCATCAGACTATCTGCTCTAACTTCCTTCTCCAAACGTGTGTGGGTGGTTCTGGAGTGAAGCGGCGCTTGAATCCTGACCTTCTTGAGGATGAGATAAGAGATAGAAGCATTGGCGTCTATGATGATGGTGGCCACTTTGTCGTCACGGATCTCCTTCAGCAGCGGGGTGGGGTCCAGGTTGTCATCCAGCATCCTGACAGACAGCGTCTCCCGTGAGATGAGGAAGCGGCGGACCAACTCCTCTAGTCTCAGCAGGCCTGAGAGAGAGGCAGAGCAGCGCAAAGTCACATCGATGTCTATCAGGAGACATGAGTCATATTTCCAGTATTCTCAGCCATATGGATCCTAATTTAGCCCATACTGCCGTATATTGGTATCACTTTGCAGATCATGAACAACACTTTGTGGGTCATTTAAGTTAAATTTCCTTTTCAGTTGTAATCATGTCCATTAAGCTCTTGTGATCCACTCTGAATATTTGTTGTTATTTTAAATAAATTTAGTTTTTTCAAACCATTGTACATAAAACGTTTTAGTGAAATCTGCATAAATGGGAGTCCAAGAACTGAGAAACAAGTAATTGGATTTTGAAGCTCGCTTTTCCAAATAACCCTGAGACTGCACCAATGGCACAGCTTAAACCTCAACACACTCTTCATCACCCTCTGCTGAAGGTAAACACAAAGTGATCACGCTTTTGCCTATGTTTCTGTTTTTGTGCGTGTTAATTTGTCTTTTAGTAAAACTCTCGTGATCCACAGGATGGATTTTAATGAAGCTTTAGAATATCACTGAATGTCTGTCTATAACTGGTTGACTTATGGAGTCAGCCCAATTCAAGATGTCTGCCACAGGTAATGTGTGTTTCCAACACATAAATGACTTTAAACTACTCAAAATTAAAGATAATACGTTGTTTTTGTGGCAAGTAATTTTTAACATAAACTCTGAGCATTAACTACATCTTGCAAGATGCTAAAGCAGCAACCTTGAGTAAAAACTGAAAGGCAGCAAGCAATATGCATCTGATCAGTTTTTAATCACACCTCCTAAAGACACTTGGACAAATTGTACATGCACTACATACTGGTGCAATTTTTATAGATAAGCCCATATGTTTTAAATATGCCTTTTTTAATTAGCTATATACTTGAGTGCCAGCTGTTAGATTTGATATGTCACTTTACAGACATGGATTCCCC